GTGTGTGTATGAGGGAGAGTGAGTGAGTGTGTGTGTGTGTGGGAGAGATTGTGTGTGTGTATGTGGTATGTGTGAGGGAGAGAGAGTGTGTGTGTACTTGACAGACAGTGTTTGTATGAGCGAGGATGTGTGTATGTGTGTGTGAGAGAGAGACAGTGTGTGAGACTGTGTGTTTGAGAGAGGAACTATGTGAGAGAGAATATGTGGGGAAGTGAGTGGGTTTGTGTGTGAGTGTGTGTGTATGTATGCATGTGTGTGAGTGTGTTTGTGAGAGTGTGTAGTGTGATAGTGTGATAGGGTCACCTGTAGACCGACATGAACACAAGAGCCCAGTTGGCTTAACAGCTTCTGCTTAGTGACTGTATTGTAGCGAATCCCGAAGTCCACCTTGAAGGATGTTTACCTGAAGATCCGAGTCTGACATGAAAGGAATTCAGGGATTTACATGTACATATTAATCAAATAAAACCTTCTAACTGATTAAAGATTTAACAACATCACAGGTTTGATAAAACATCCTGATCAATGGTGTGACCCTTTGACCTCTTAAAATTCTGTATCTGATACTAACTCTCTCACTAACACCTGAAGAAGGAGTGACGCTCCATAAGCTTGTGTTTTCAAATAAACCTGTTGAACTATAACCTGTTGAACTATAACCTGTTGTCATGTGATTTCTAATATTTTTATAGATATCCAAAAATAACTGGACAACCTTTGGTGAGGTGGCAAATAGCATCAGTTACATACTTTGTGGGTTGGTGTGCAATAGTGTTAGCTGCATCTAAAGCATGTAATTGCTGTTTGCCTGCCATTATGACTTGAGACTTGCATCCATCCTCAAGTAATGCATCAATGCCTTGCCCATTTTCCTTGTCCAGAAGATCCTGTCTCTGTCTCATTGTTTTTACAGTTGTAAAAGCAATGACTAACTCACTGAGTCTCTTTTACAGTTCCCCTTCTGCAAAGCCTCGTTCATGTCCTTTCCCATGGCATCTTCTAATGTAATGGAAACTACAAGGGAGCAAGCTATCCTAGATCTAGTCCTGTGTAATGAGACAGGAATAATTAATGATGTCACAGTTAGGGATCCTCTCAGAAGGAGCAGTCACAGTATGGTCAAATTTAAAATACAGATGGAGCGTAAGAAGGTTAAATCCAGTACCTATGTCCTGTGCTTAAACAAAGGAGACTATGAAGGAATGAGGAAGGAGTTAGCTAAGGTAGAATGGGAGCAAAAACTTTATGGTGGGTCAATTGATGAACAGTGAAGGACTTTCAAAACAATTTCTCACAGTGCTCAGCAGAAGTATATTCCAGTGATAAGGAAGAACTGTAGGAAAAGAGAGAGCCAGGCATGGATGTCTAAGGAAATAAAGGAAAGTATCAGATTGAAAAAAAACACACACAAAAAAGCAAAGAGTAGTGGGAAACTGGTAGACTGGGAAATCTTTAAAGGCCAACAGAAAACCACAAAAAAAGTTGCAAAGAAAAGTAAGATAGGTTATGAGAGTAAACTAGCTCAGAATATAAAAACAGGCAGCAAAAGTTTCTATAAATATGTAAATCATAAAAGAGTGGCGAAGGTAAACATTGGTCCTTTAGAGGATGAGAAGGCCAATTTAATAACTGGGAATGAGGAAATAGCCGAGACATTAAACAGTTATTTTGTGTCGGTCTTCACAGTGGAAGACACAAATAACATGCCGAAAACTAATGGCAAGAAGGTTGTAGCAGGTGAGGACCTAGAAACTATCATTATCATTAAGGAGGCAGTGCTGGGCAAGCTAATGGGGCTAAAGGTAGACAAATCTCCTGGCCCTGATGAAATGCATCCCAGGGTACTAAAAGAGGTGATGGGGGAAATAGCAAATGCACTAGTAATTATTTACCCTAATTCACTGGACGCTGGGGTGGTTCCCGCAGATTGGAATGTGATGCCACTGTTTAAAAAAGGAAGTAGACAAAAAGCAGGTAACTATAGGCCAGTTAGCTTAACTTTGGTAGTGGGGAAAATGCTTGAATCTATCATTAAGAAAGACATAGCAAGACATCTGGATATAAATTGTCCCATTGGGAACACCCAGCATGGGTTCATGAAGGGTAGGTCATGTTTAACTAATTTGGTGGAATTCTTTGAGGACATTACTTGCATGGTGGACAATGGGGAACCGGTGGATGTGGTGTTTCTGGATTTCCAGAAGGCACTTGACAAGGTGTCACACCAAAGGCTGCTATATAAGATAAAGTTGCTGGGTATTACAGGTAATGTATTGGCATGGATAGAGGATTGGTTGACCAGTAGAAAGCAAAGAGTAGGGGTAAATGGGTGTTTTTCTGGTTGGCGGTCAGTGGCTAGTGGTGTGCCTCAGGGGTCAGTGTTGGAACCTAAATTGTTTACAATTTACATAGATGATTTGGAATTGGGGACTAAGTGTGGTGTGTCAAAATTTGCAGATGACACTAAGGTGAGTGGTAGAGCAAAGTGTGCAGAAGACACTGAAAGTCTGCAGAGGGATATAGATAGTCTAAGTGAGTGGGCAAAGGTCTGGCAGATGGAGTACAATGTTGATCAGTGTGAGGTCATCCATTTTGGTAGGAATAACAGCAAAATGGACTATGTTTTAAATGGTAAAATATTGCAGCACGCTGCTGTGCAGAGGGACTTGAATGTCCTTGTGCATGAATCGCTGAAGGTGGGATTGCAGGTGCAGCAGGTAATTAAAAAGGCAAATTGAATTTTGTCTGCCATTGCGAGAGGGATGGAGTTTAAAAACAGGGAGGCTATGCTGCAGCTGTATAGGGTCCTGGTGAGGCCACACCTGGAGTACTGTGTGCAGTTTTGGTCTCCTTACTTGAGAAGAGATATACTAGCACTGGAGGGGGTGCAGAGGAGGTTCACTCGGTTGATTCCAGAGTTGAGAGGGTTGGATTATGAAGAGAGACTGAGTAGGCTGGGATTATACTCTTTGGAATTAAGAAGAATGAGGGGCGATCTTATAGAAACATATAAGATTATGAAGGGAATAGATAAAGTGGAGGCAGGGAGGTTGTTTCCACTCGCAGGTGAAACTAGGACTAGAGGGCATCGCCTCAAAATAAAGGGAAGCAGATGTGGGACTGAGGTCAGGAGGAACTTCTTCACCCAAAGGGTTGTGAATCTGTGGAATTCCCTGCCCAGTGAAGCGGTTGAAGCTACCTCGCTGAATGTGTTTAAGTCAAGGTTACATAAATTTTTGAACAGTGAAGGAATTAAGGGTTATGGTGAGTGGGCGGGTAAGTGGAGCTGAGTCTCAAAAAGATCAGCCATGATCTTATTAAATGGCGGGGCAGGCTCGAGGGGCCAGGTGGCCTACTCCTGCTCCTCGTCCTTATGTTCTTATGTTCTGACGAACTGATGAATAGACTCTTAGGATGCCTGTCTAAATGGCATGAGCTGGAGTCTATTGATTTTGTAACTAAATGTTATCATGAGCTTGTCTTTGAGCAGCTTCCTGATATTTTCAGAATCTTTCTGCCCATCAGTGGAAAGACTGGTTGCAGTAAATATGTGCAGTTTCTCCTTGCAAATGGCAAGCCAGATCTTTAGTACTCTTTTCTTAGAATCATCTATCAATTAAACTGTAAAATAGAACTGTGTATAGTGTTTACATTGCTGTAATTCAGTAAGGGTGCTATTGAATATGGCCCAATCTATAATTAATTTTCTGCTATTTATGATTCTGCCTTAAAAACTTTGTACTCTCCATCTTAAGCTGTGTGTCACTGACTTTGTCAGTGTAAATTAAAATTACTACTCCATTGGCTTTGGTTCTTTTAAGGTGTTTTGTTAAAAATTGTAGACTTGTAGGTACAGGTTTCTGCCTTTAGGTGCTGTTCACACCAAATAGGGAATGATGACATCGCATAGGCTTTTTACATTTTTGTGCTGATATTGAGAAAACAAATGGCAGAACTGACAGAAGTTTGCATGGAGGTAAAACTTTTGAATGTAGAGCCTTTTTTAGAAAGAGTTTTTACGCAATCTCTACATTTTGCAGGAGATTTAGATCTGTGCTTTCAGAATAGCTTAACTGTGATTATTTAAAAAAAAAACAGATGAGAAGCCATTACTTTTTGTTTCCCCAAGGCAGAGGGAGACTTTCAGTACAGATGTAAGACATTCTTGGAAATTTATTTTATCATGAAAGAACTATACATTGTACTCAAAAATAAATTAGCTGTGTTTTATTGTTGGCCCTAGCTAGAGATCTGTACAGCCATGTGATTCAGAGAAATTGGTCTGCTGATTGCCAACATTCTCAATTATCCAACACTGTTGGCTGATTATTCTTCAATTAGTTTTTCAAATATCTACCGCCAAGCTCTTGAAGCCTTTTTGTTACAGATGGCTATGCTGCTGACCATAATGTGATTTCTGCCTCCAGCCTGATGTTGTTCCTGATTGTGGCAATGCTTATGTTACCACCATAACATAAGACATTGGGTGTGGATATTGTGGTATTGGTCCAAGAGAAACTTATTACAATCAAATATTATGTATAAATATTACATTCACAGAAACAGCAGTATCTGTGTTAACAATCAGTTATTAAAGTACAAAGATCAGCATGCTTCCAGTTGTGTGTCATGATTCAAATCATCTTGAAATAGGAAAATATCTCTTAAAGGACCATGAAACATGCATGATACGCAGGCTTGTGTGCTCCTCCCATGTTCAGGAGGAACATAAGCTCTGAGGCTCCTGAGCTAGAAAATCTGCTGGAAAGTGAATGCAAAAGCCTATCCTGAAATTCGAACATAGCATCCCCTTTACAAAAATGTATGGTGGTGGAGAGGGATGTGTTTGCTGATGCTAGCACAGAGTTAATTAGCAAATGGTATTGGTTCTGGTATGTCTGAGAGCAGTGGGGTGTTTGTGTGTTACTTTGGTGTGGCCAGGTGGGTGGGAATCAGGAAAAGAGAGGAAAAGTTAACAGAAGTGTTGGGAAGCCTCAGGAATGGCAATTTGGAACAAAATTTGGAACAAAATTAAAGAACCTCCCCCTCAATGTGCCCGGCGCCATTGACCATGTGGTCACCACTGCCTCTCTCACTGACACTACTGACCTCATCACTTCTGCCGAAGCCGTTCACATCACTTCCACTGTCAGAAAGCATGCTGCTACTGCTGCCATTCACACCGCGGATGCTACCACTTCCATCGCTGACATTGAGAGAGCGATGACATCGCTTCCACCAACGACACTGACACCAACATCGCCGCAGACACCACCAACGTCACTTCTGCCGATGATGCCGAAGACAATACCACTGACGCCAATGTCGCCGCTTGCGCCGCCGACACCAAAAATACCGACGCCAAAGTCGCCCCACCCACTGCCGACGCTGCTGACAATGCCACTAACTCTGCCTCCACACCCAGCTCCAGCCCAGCTACCAGCTCCACTCCCAATCCCAGCCCCAAATCCTGCCGGGTTATCACCATCCTTGCAGACCTCCCCCTCACTAAGGACAAACGGTCAGTCCTCAGCAAAGGACTCACCTCTATTGCCGTGTGCCCATACATCAATGAATTCCATTCATGTTTGGATGTCAGACACTTTTTCTGCTGCCTCCGCCTCCACACTTATTTCTTTAACTGCGAGTCAAAACCACCCTCTACAGACTCCTTCTTCCGCCTCCAACACACCCCATACTCCTGGACACCATTCAAGGCTACCTACCATTCCTCGACCTCTTCATTTCCAACCACCGTCGTGACATCAATCGCGTCAAATCTCCACCCCTCTCACTCACTCCAACCTCTCCCCCATGGAACATGCAGCCCTCCGCTCCCTCTGCTCCAACCCCAACCTCACCATCAGACCAGCAGATAAAGGAGGCGAGGTAGTGGTATGGCGCACTGACCCTTACATAGCTGAGATCCGGCACCAACTCTCTGACACCTCCTCCTACCACCCCCTCGATCATGACCCCACCCCTGACCATTAAACCATTCATAATGTCATCACTTCAGGTGACCTCCCAGCCACAGCCTCCAACCTCATCGTTCCCCAACCCCGCACTGCCCGTTTCTATCTCCTTCCCAAAATCCATAAACCTGACTTCCCTGGCCGACACATTGTCTCTGCCCGCTCCTGCCCCACTGAACCTATTTCCGCTTACCTTGAATCTGCTTTCTCCCCACCTCGTCCAGTAACTCACCACCTACATCCAGGACACCACCCATGCCTCCCACCTCCTCCAAGACTTCCAATTCCCTGGCCCCCAATACCACATCTTCACTACGGACATACAATCCCTGTACACTTTTATCCCCATGCGGATGTCCTAAAAGCCCTCCACTTCTTCCTCCCCCGCAGGCCCAACCAGTCCCTCTCCACTGACACCCTCATCTGCTTAAAGGATAATATTGACGATGTAACGCTGTTTGATAGTATACAGCAGTTAGCTCATGAAAAAGAAGGGATAGTAGCACTATGATTACAAAATTGGCCGAGTAAAAGAAAACACTGGTGTTGAACAAAGCAGGCCAAGCAGCATCATAGGAGCAGAGATGCTGCTTGGCCTGCTGTGTTCATCCAGCCCTGCACCTTGTTGTCTCGGATTCTCCAGCATCTGCAGTTCCTACTATCACTGGTGTTGAACACTTGTTTTTCAGAATGAAGGAAGAATTATAACAACCCGAAGGTTGCAGGAACAGCACCTCATATTTCGCTTGGGAACCCTGCAGCCCAATGGTATCAATGTGGACTTCACAAGCTTCAAAATCTCCCCTCCCCCAACTGCATCGCAAAACAAGCCCAGCTTGTCCCCACCTCCCTAACCTGTCCCTCCTCCCACCTATCCCCTCTCCCACCTCAAGCCCCACCCCACATCTCCTACCTACTAGCCTCATCCAGCCCCCTTGGCCTGTCCGTCCTCCCTGGACTGACCAATCCCCTCCCTAACTCCCCACCTACACTCACCTCTACTGGCTCCATCCCCGCCTCTTTGACTTGTCTGTCTCCTCTACACCTATCTTCTCCTCTATCCATCTTCTATCCGCCTCCCCCTCTCTCCCTATTTATTTCAGAATCCCCTTCCCCTCCCCCATTTCTGAAGAAGGGTCTAGACCCGAAACGTCAGCCTTCCTGCTCCTCTGCTGCTGCTTGGCCTGCTGTGTTCATCCAGCTCTACACCTTGTTATCTCAGAATTATAACGGCATTCCCTAGGAATCATGTTTGCTCTTCTTGATATATTAATGACCTAGACCTTGGTGCATCGATAATCTGCCAGAATGTGCGGATGATATAATACTTGAAATACTGTCAACAATGAGGAGGATATTGTTGAACTTCAAAAAGATGTAGACAGGTTGATGGAATGATGGGCACGTGCCAGATGAAATTTAATGCAGCAAACAGCGAGATGATTCATTTTTGTGAAAGAAAAATAGGCTGCATTGTTTCTGTAATTCTGAGGCTGTAAGTGACATTTTGGGGTGAATCACATTGTTTGAAGGTCTTGAGACTAGAAGATTCATTCTGTTTCTCAAATTACACTGCATCTCCAGAGAAGTTTGAAATTCTGCTCTTTCAGGCTCACATCATCTCTCAAGATGACTGTTTAATTTACAAGACAAGAGCCAGATCGTATCTCTGTTAGTTTCCTACACAGCTGGTAGATTTGGAACTAAATAAAATCTCATTTTTGGTTAGCTGACACTACAGCAAAAATGTAGCCCTTTGGATTGACATAACCCCACTTATTGCATTATAGATGGTGATCCAAGTCCACTATTGCTGTCAGAATGATCAAAAGGTGACTCTGTTTGGTAATTTTAAATCGATTAGGGAGAATTAAAGTGCAACTTAATTGTCTATTGCTACAGTTTATCCATTACCTTTTTAATGGAATTGTTCTGCAGTTTACAACCTAATTCATGGTCTGGACATAGTGTTCTACCTCTCAGATTGTGTAAAATTTACTTCTCAGATTTTACACAATTTCCTGGAGGGTGAATAAAGGAGTAAGGATTTCTCTTAATTCCAGGGCAAGATTGTAATAGATTGTGTTCACGGATGGATCCTTAAAGAGGTCTGAGTGATATGATCTGTGGTGTGATATGTGGCAGAATCACTCAAGAAGTCCGACAGCATCTATCTTGGTGTTGTGAGTACCTCCCTCTACCTTTTATGCTTTTGACAAGTGGCATGGCTGCGCACTAGTAAGTTGCCAATTAAAGGGGATTATTGAATAGAGTCATAGAGAAATACATCATGGAAACAAACCTTTTAACCCAACGCATCCATGCCGACCAGATAACCTATATAAACTAGTCCCATTTGCCAGCATTTAGCACATATCCCTCTAAACCCTCCCTATTCATATACCCATCCAAGATGCCTTTTAAGTGTTGTAATCATGCCAACCTCCTTCACTATGTCTGGCAGCTCGAGCATATACGCACCACCCTCTGCGTGAAAAACTTGACCCTTAGGTCCCTTTTATATCTTTTCCTTTTCAACTTAAACCATGCCTTGTAGTTTTGGAATCCCCTACTCCAGGGAAAAGACCTTACCTATTTATCCTATCCATGCCCTTCATGATTTTATAAATCTCTATAAGGTCACCTCTTGGCCTCCGATGCTCCAGGGAAAATAGCCCTAGCCTATTTAGCCTATCCCTATAACTCAAACACTCCGATCCTGGCAACATCCTTGTAAAACTTTTCTGAACCCGTTCAAGTTTTACAATTCCCTCCTTTAGGAGGGAGACAAGAATTGCACACAATACTCCAAAATGGCCTAATCAATGTCCTGTACAGCCCAACATGACCTTCCAACTTCTATACTCAATGCACTGACAAATAAAGGCAAGCATTCCAAATGTCTTCTTCACTATCCCATCTACCTGCGACTTCAATTTCAAGGAACTATGAACATGCTCTTCAAGACCTCTGTTCAGCAACACTCTCCAGGACCTTATCATTAAGTGTATAAGTCCTGCCCTGACTTGCCTTTCCAAAATGCAGCACCTCACATTTATCTAATAAATTCCATCTGCCTCTCTTCGGCCATTGGCATATCTGATCAAGATCCCATTGTACTCTTGTTAAGTGCATTATTAACAGTCCAACTTACCTCATTAATATTCCACTTCCTGTATTGCCAAATGCACCAAACAAGTTGGACATCAAGAAAATTTGACATGGAAATCAGAGCAGGTACCTGACAAATTCATTTCACCATTTGCTCCAAAGGACCTGCAGGTACCAACATCTGAGGGCACTTTTCATGGGCACCAGCCACATGCACCTCACATCCAAGGTACTGGAGTCTGATAAGGTTGGGTCTCTAAGAACCCTCATGTCATATCTCTGATCCACTTAAAGGATGCTTCTGCATTTTAATGCGTGATTCAGGCTGCCCCAGCATCAATCATTGTAATGCTGCAGCAAGAACACAGTGTACCAGGGACACAGCCCAGCTCATGAACAGGGCCAGGTTTTCATGGGCTGGCTCTGACTTAAGACTGCTGGGACGCTGATTGAAAGCTATCCCTCTTGACTTGACTGAGGAGTTCTGTAAACTAAGCAAAGTTCCTAGTTTAGACAGTGCTGAATGTCCTGACATATCTGGTTCTGAGACAAGGTTCAAAAATACAAGTTAATGCAGTACGTGACTGTTTAGGTTGGCTCATAACAGCAAACAATATGTTGGAGCTGAAGCCCGGCCCAATCATGAGAAGTGTATGTGTCCCTGAGCACAAAGCTTACTGGCAGCAACATTAAAATGATACTTGCTGGTGCAGCATTGACATACAGAAGCATCCTATAAGTGGAGCAGAGTTGCACTGTGAGGGTTTTTAGACGCTGCCAAATGCTGGATGAGAATGTCCATGGACATGGGATGCTTGAAATCCATACCCTAGATTTTTAAAGGTTGTGGCAGCAGAGATAGTGAATACATATATTGTAATACTTCAGAATTCGCTGGATACTGGAAAGATTCCAGTGGATTGGAAAAATGCTAATGTAATGCCCTTATTCAAAATGGAGGAATGTGGCAAGTAGGAAACTACAGATCCGTTAATTTAATATATGTCATTGGGAAGTTGTTAGAATCCGTATTAGGGAAGTAGTAAGAGGACATTTGGGTTTACAAAGGGTAAA